AACCAACGCATTGCTCAGCTGCTCCTGCTCACGTGCACCACAGAAGCAGACTGATGGGCTGCAGTCAAAGGACAAAGCGCCTCCAGTTTCCTGTACACAGACACCATCAGCCTTGACTGCTTGCAGAGGTGTGCTACCCTTCCCTTGAGCAACACCTATGCCAAAAGTGAGGATGCAAATGCAAATGTATTGAAGCAAACCAGAGTTTATTTAGCGTTTATTACCGATTCTGTTGTCATATGTGGCTTCTTCTGTCTCCATTTTCATTTTCCTCTGGTAAACATAGACCTTTTATTTTTTTATTTTTTTAATAAAATATATAAAACATTGTGCATTGCTATCCATAGGAAAACTGTAGTTTAACAACAACAAAAAAAAAAGAATAAGGCATATTCCTGTGCAGCATCTTCAAATATATATATATATTTAAAATAAAACAAAACAAAAAGGAAACCCTTTTCAACCTCTTTGAGGTTGTTAACTTCTCACCAGTCACTGACACTTCTCTTATATTACCATAATTTCACTGTTGGAGGTGGGTTGGGTTGTGTTTGACAGGGGCCAGCAGGGAGAACATACTCAAAAAAAAAATAGGATTTTATCCCTGAGGTGTCAGTAAAAAACGTAAATGTTCCCATTGAAAAGGAAGAGTAAAAGACAGCCATAAATAACCAAATACACTATGGCAAACATCCAAGCACCGAGATGATTTCATGATGGAAGAATCCCCCTCCCTCCCATCCCCCAGTTCCTAACAAGTCATATTTGCCGTTGGGTTTTAATTAGGTTAATCTCATGGCTTCTGAAGTCACAAGACAATTAGTCAGGATGCACCTCCCCCTCCCTTCCCAAATCATCTTTCCAGATTTGTCCCTTTGTTAACAATTCTCCCACAGTCCTCAGGAAAGGGAAACCAAAAAGTCCTAAATGAACACCAAAACCTGGACGACTTCTCTCCCCAGCCAAGACAGGAGCACTCGTACCACAGCATGACAAACACCATGTCCCACATGGGAGGACTGTACCTGTCACCTTCCTGCCTGCTACTAAGAAATGAAGTTGGCAACCACCTCTGTTGAAACCAGAAAGTGTTTGTGAAGAGGGGTGATTGATAGAAATATGTCAGGGAGAAGGAGATGGGGAAAGCTTTATTGCTGTCCATCCATACTGCTCCAGGTAGCACACCTGAAAGGAAAAGGGGAGACACCCACATAATATTCCTTCGCTCCCTCTCCTCTATCACGTGTGGAGGAGCCCCAGGGTGCAGGGCAGGACGGTGGGACTCCCCATCGCTTAGTAGTAGCGGTTGAGGCTCCTGGTCCCTGGGATGTCCGGCTGGCCGTTCATCCAGATCTCCCGGATGATGCGCTCCCGCTCCTCCAGCCGCTGAGCTCGCTCCAGCTCCTCCGCCGACGTGAAGACGTTCATGTTCAAAGTCCTCTCGAACCTGCGGTGCCTGCGGGCCGACAGGTCCGAAGTCGTGTCCGAATCGTCGTCGCTGTCGCTGCTGCCGCTGTCGCTCTCCCGCTCCCGAGGAGGCTTTTTCGCGGAGGAGCGTTTGCAGTCCGTTCGGCAGGACACCCTTAGCACCAGGGCCAGCAGGGTCAGGACAAGTCCAATGCACACTCCAGAGACAAAATACAGAGCAGCCCGCTCGGGGTTTTCTGAAAGGGGAAAGAAAATGATTGTCGAGAACAACCCTCTAAAGAACAAAACACACACAGCTCCTCTGTGCACATGCCAGCTGCGGTCTCTGGAGAGGCAGAGTTTCTAATGGTTGTTTTACTTCCATGCCCTCCTTCGCCTCCTCCCCCCAGGGAAATCAGGGTGGGGAATTTAAACGGTGGGTTTGCTGCCAAGGCATTTGCTCACATGCAGAATGTGGGTTCGCTACAGTCGTGTCTGGGAGTTGTTTGGAAGGAGGAGGAGCAGCCCGCAGAATTAAATGCTAATTCCAGCGGCTGCACGAGCTGGGTTGACACCAGGGTGCTGCACACCCAGCAGCAGCTAAATGCATCTTGTTGTCGCATCCATTATCATCGTACCAGAAATAAAGATGATTACAAAGCTTTATACGCTCTCTGTACTGTGGCCCAGATGAAATGGGAAGCCTTGCAGCATGGAAAAATGCATGCTATTTATTCATAAGCTTCATTTGCTTATCTAAGGCAAGTGTGCTGGCTTTCTGCCCAGACCACCAAAACGTATACCTGCGCTACAGAAGCATAGCTGGAGTCAATGCACTAACAGGATGAATCCTGCATAGCCACATTTCAGAGGTGATATAACAAAACTCCAAAGGATCCACAATGCCTTTTAAACTAGGTTATCTTGTTTATTTACTACCTTTTTTTTTTTTTTTTTTTTTTTTTGATTCATGGGACTACTTGGAAGTGTAATTATGATAAACATCGTTACTGCAATTCCCCTGGGCTGAATCACCTCGGTTTATAGGTACACTGAACGGGTGAAGGTGAACTGAGCAGAAGTGTCAAGGCCAGGTCTACTATGCTGTGTCTGTTGGGAGTCCTGAGTTCAAGGATGGAGTCAGTTCCTTAACTCTTATTCCCTTGAACTCATTGATGGAGCTGTAAGAGTTCCCACCAGCTGAGAGCCTGACATTCGGCCCTGAAAGATCTCTGTAACTAAAAGTCTCTGCTCAACCTTCACTTCCCCCCACTGTGCTTTTAGAAACCGCCCTCTCCAACTGATTTCCTTAAAACAAAGCTTGCAGAAGATGAACTGGAAACCATTTGGAGATATTCGAAACTCAATAGAACAAGACCCTGCTTTAACTTCACAGCTGGCTCTAAATTTGAAGTTAGCCATGTTCTGGGTAGGGGGTTGGACCAAGTGACCCCTGGAGACCTCTTCCAGCCTAAATTATTCGCTGATTCTGCAGTCAGAGCCCAAAGACTGATGTGCGCATAGTTGAAGGCAAGCATAGTTCAGTGCCTGGAGAAGACCATGGAACAGTTACAGGGACAATACACCTCTGTGCTCTTCACTTCTTTCCTACCAAACGAACCTCAAAAATGACTGACAAGCCAAGGTGGAGGAAGATGTCACGGTAGTCTGAAAACCGGCTAAACAGGAGATTGTTGCTAGAGTGGTAGATGTGGATGGCATGGGGAAAAAACAGGCTGAAGAGAGACTACAAAAAAAGAGGAGAAAACTGCAGCAGATGCATTCAACAATTCCAAAAATAGAAAGAAGCGAGAAATGCAGCAGCAGTTGGAAAGTCAAGTGATGCCCAAGACAGAGGTTTCAAGCTAAGATATTTTGACGAAAATGAGACAGCAAAAATCGAAAGATAAAAGAGAAGATACCAGAGCAGGCATGAAGGATGTGCCAAGGTTCTTGTAGCAGTCTGTCTGAGTGAAGTCCTGGCTCCAGTGAAGTTAGTGGCAATTCTGAACTCAAGGGGCAGAGCTCAAATTAAAACTGCAGCCCTGCTTGTGTAGTAGCAAAGCTGCTGCCCATCTGGTACTGTGTGAACAGTAGAGAAACGGCCTAAATTCCGGAGTTTTGGAAACCCTAGGAAAAGTGGTATCACACTCTGATATGGCTGCTACCTCCATGTGCTATATAACTCAGGAGAGTAACTGCAAATCTTTCTTTGCAAGTAGGCCAAAGCAGGACACACAGAGTGTGGGAAGAACAAATAAGCAGGACTGATCTCTTTGTCCTGGAAGATGCTTGGTCCGGTCTGCCCCCGCTCTGCCTGGCTGACAGGATGCCAGGCACACTTTCCTGAGCACCACGTTCCTCCACACACATGGGCTTGATTTAGTTGTATTAGTTCCACTCTTCACTATTTTAAAGCATCTCATAAAAACCCATAGATTGGAGACTGAGACGCAGACACATGTGGTTTCTCTTCCCATCTTTGTCTATGTCCTGCTTTTCCTTTCTCCTCCACACTCCTTTTTCCATGCTACTGTATCCAGCTCATGAGCAAACTGCACCTCGATTGCTACTTCAGCAACCATTTTTCACCCTCTGCTCGTGCTTGTACATATAGCCCTTCATGCAGTGCAATGGCTGTAATTGAATCTTTGGGCTCCGGTGGCATTTATGAGTTCCTACAGCTACTCTGTCAACATCTGAGACATTGTCTGGACTTCCTCACTGAGCTGTAACCCTACGTTCAACTGCAGTCTTGGCATTTATCATACGTACAATCCACTCACACAGCCACATCTCTTTTTTGTTCACAGCAGAAAGAGCAACTTAAGCTAAAAACCACAGGCTCTGCTTTTTCTCAGTTGGTAGACAAGTCAGCAACAGCCTAGATTTGGGTCTTTGACAGTTGATTTTGAGAGCCTTCTGCATTGCATGTTCTACTTGCAAAGACTAAAAAGGCGTATCTTCTTCCACAAATGGATACTCAGCATCTTCCAAAAACTTGACAGTGGTTCAGATTCAGCATGCCAACACTGAAACTCCTCAAAACACTCATTTGAAAAACTCTTTAAAAGGGTATGGACAGCAGTAGCAGGAGTTAACGTAATTTTGATATGCATTGATATGTGTGTGTGTACACCCACTAACACACGGATTTTGACCAGTGTAGCTTTTTCTTCCACTGCTGTGGATAACAGCTCAGAGCTATGTTTTTCTTCTAAACTTCTAGCAGGACTCAGTTGCTGTCAATGTCTTTAGCTGGGGTTACCTTTCCCCTTCATGGTATTTCTGTTTCTGGACTGAAAGCACTGATGAAAATGTCACTGATTCAAGCCTGAATTTAATCCATGCAGACAAAAGATATATGCTCTTTATAACCCTCTATGCAAAAGCCACCGTTTTCTAGGCACTTAAACGGGCCAAAAATTAGAAACACATTTTATTGTGTTTTTCCAACCAAACCAGCAGCAATTACGGAGCCTGTTTCCTGAGGGCTAACAATCTGCTGGGAGCATCAGCCCAGACTGCCATTAATTCCCCAGGAAATGCCCCAGGCCAAGGTTGTTATTGCTATTATAATAAATTGTTTCAATAAATAAAAACCAATCCAGGCATTAACGCTGCTGGCTTCCTGTGATGGCTTCGTGCATTCAGAAACCTCAGTGGGGAGGAAAATTTCAGAGGCTCCAGTAAAACGTTCAGCATTAAGCATGGCCAGACAAACAGTAGGAGAAATATCTTCTAGGGAATTTACAGTTAGCCCCACAGGCTGCCGAAATCCCCTGGTAGAACAGAGGAAGCTCTCCAGGAGCCCCTTATTAATAAGGCTCAGGTCAAGCAGTCTAAAAGTTGGAATGATCTCCCCCGGGTTGTTTTTTGGAAGTCCCTTGTTAATAACTTGGCAGCAAAGCTTTGCTTGTGGAAGAAGAATAAAACAGGAATTTGTGGAGGTTTCCCTCCAACTATTTCAGCCTGAATGCAATGACAAAACTGGAATAAGTCACTTGTCCAAAGGGAGGTATTGGAAGCACTCTGATGCAATTTGAACATTTAATATTTATATAACCATGAGGGACAGTTCTGGTCTCGCTGGTAGACTGTAAATGCAAAGACAGTTCCAGCTGTCACTGAGACTGGTGAAGTCTTTCCAAACACTCAGAAAGACAGTTTTTGGAACAGGTCCATGACAAATAACAGGTCTGAGGTTTGCAGGCAGAGATTGCATATAATTAAAAACCTAATTCTGTAAAGAAAATCAGCTTTCAAATTAAGGGCAACCCTAAGTCTTTTGCAGGACCATTCTCTGAATAAGTCTTACTTGTTTGAACACCTGATAGAGTCACTCCTCGTTGACATTGTTCACTCTTTCTCCCTATTTCTGAAGGAATGTCGTTTTCAACATTCTGGAAGCTGGGATAAGACTAACATCTAACTGGCTTTGATACTCCTAACCATGATGATAGCTGCACACAGATTTAACGTGAAAACCAACTCTCCTGCAAAGAGGTTTTGCTTCCTGTTGTGCTGTGATTTTTCACTCCCCTGTCGTCAGTAGGAACATTCCCAATTTTTGTATGTGAACACCAGTCCAGAAGATGGTAGGAATGAGCACAGAGGCTTTTGCTAGCATTAGCACTTCTCCCCTCTGTGCACTGCAAGACTGTGCATGTGTGAGTGACTGAGCCTGCAGACTCTTCATCTGCAGCTTCCCATCCAAACCTGCTATTTTGTGCAGAAAATATGAACACCATTGAGCACAAAGGCGATCCCACTGATCTGTGGATGCCCTCCTCAGGCTAAGAGACACCCCACTGCCAGGAAGCCGGAAAAGTAGCAGAGTGGATCGTCCTTACAAGAACATATTTTATCCATGAAATACCAAGTGTCCGTGGCTTCTTTTTCCTGTAGTTGGTCTGAGGGTGTACACCACCCACTGTCCCAACAGGAAAAACATTTTTATATGTTGTCCCTGCCTATTTAAAATTTTCTTTTCCAAAGTCCTGTTTTGACCCAACTCCTCATCACAGGGTAAGCCCTGAATGCAGCACTTTCAGACTGCAGAGTTTACCTAAGAGACGTTTTTAGTGTTATGAAACAGAGTAGTTCTTGCACTAGCAGGAAGACATCTGAGCCATCACCAGCCCTCCCTGGTTGCCCAATACCCTGCCTCTCCTGAGCCACTATAATGGCTCCTCTGTGGACATCAACAGCTGCTGTGGCTTAAGCCGCCTTCGGGGGCCCAAACTCAGGCAAGCACAAAAATTTCCAAATGTTCTGCTGCTCAAAATCTGCAATATGAAGGGCTTTGCCGTGCTCTAGTTTTATGCAGATGATATTTGTGCGCTGTGACACAGCTTGTCTTTGAACTCATAATCTAAAACCTCTCTGTATTCACATACAACAAAATAAATCATGCCAAATCCATCCTCTCTGCTAAAAGCAGAGGGCTAAATTACATGCAGATAAAGATGGTTTAGGGCATCTGCTGTTTCAGTCCATGGGGCAGCCATCAATTACTTTTGTAATAAATAATAAACCGAACATACATGTCATTGAGACTAAAGCTCATCTAACAGCTATGGTTAGGTGTACTGGAAAACATAAGCAACAAGCTCCTGAAATCACCACTGGAAATCAAAGTCGCGTGGTCTGAGTTTTGTCTATTTGACATCCAGTGGATGTGAACACATCATAAGGAGACCACATCATGAGAGGGCAAGCGAATCCCACCGTAACAAGACAGTTAAAGCCGTCCTTATTTATTATTTGTGCCACAGTAAAGTCTAGAGGGTCCTGCCAAGACTGACACCTTGTGAAGTGGATGAATTGAGACCTTGTGCCCTACAAAACCAATGCAGGGTCAAAGAGTTCTGCTGCGGTAAATGGAAGCAAAATCCATGGAGCACCATCCACAGCCCTGAATCCTAGTCCCAACTGAACCCAGCCATAAATCCTATAATCCTTCTGTTGCCCATTACTGTTCAGATGGGGAAAATAATATTAACAGCATTTTATTTTATAATAAGGTTGGGAATGCAGGCATTTCCATGTCAAAAAATGAGCAGCTGCAGGTAAGAGAGGGGAAAAGTGTGATAGACAAGACTCATTTAAAGTTTGCTTTTTCTAATCTTTCATTAGGGAAGCCCACGCAAGAAAAAAATGTATCCTACTCAGCTATCTTTTGTGAAGAACACTACTAATTCCTCTTAAGCTGCCTGCTTCTTAAGGGTGTCACAAAAATACGGATCCTGATGCCACTATTGGATGTGTAGAAGGGCAGAACTTCGGATTCACCATTTACGGTCCTTTTAGAAGGACCCTCCACTAAATGTGCAAAAAACACTCTTAGATCTACTCAGTGATTCCAAAATGAAGAGCTCAAATTAGTTGTTTCACACATCAAACCAAGTGTGGCCAGCAGGTTGAGGGAGGTGATTCTCCCCCTCTACTCTGCTCTGGTGAGACCTCGCCTGCAGTGCTGCGTTCAGCTCTGGGACCCCCAACATAAGACATGAACCTGCTTGAGCAGGTCCAGAGGAGGGCCACAACAACGTCCAGAGGACTGGAACACTGCTCCTATGAGGACAGGCTGAGAGAGTTGGGGTTGTTCAGCCTGGAGAGGAGAAGCCACCAGGGAGACCTTATCGCAGCCTTTCAGTACTTAAAGGAGGCTTATAAAAAAGATGGGGAAAACTTTTAGCAGGTCCTGTTATGACAGGACAAGGAGTAATGGTTTTAAACTAAGAGAGGGTAGGTTTAGACTAGATATAAGGAAGAAATGTTTTACAATGAGGGTGGTCAAACACTGGCACAGGCTGCCCACAGAGACGGGAGAAGCCCCATCCCTGGAAACATTCAAGGTCAGGCTGGATGAGGCTCTGAGCAACCTGATCTAGTTGAAGATGTCCCTGCTCACTGCAGGGAGTGTTGGACTAAATGATGTTTGAAGGCCCCTTCCAATCCAAACCATGCTATGAAATGCAAGTACTTGTCTGTAGCAGCACGGTGGTATCTCAGCAAGAGCAATAGTGTGGCACCAAGAATGCGTTAGTATTTAACGAATTAGCAAGACCAAATGGCACAGAGACATGAAAAAACTAGCTCACAAATACTGGAGTTTTAGCTATATAGACCTCAATGCTCCAGAATGCTCCAGTGGTGCTAGCAGACTGGCCACAGTACACAGAATTATTAACAGCATGGAGTAAAAGAGCAACACATTAATATTACTAGTAAGGTAATATTGCTTGGCAATAAACATTGCAATTAAACAAATGGAGAACACCGATACGAAAAAGTGACCACAAACAGTATGTCTTGCCTCTGGGGAAAACAGCAGAGATTGGCCTAAAATATGCTGAATTAGTGCATCTGATGCTATTCAGCCACTGCTCCTCCTTATTTTGTGTTAGGTCCTCCAACTCTGCAGGCGATCCCTACTGCTGACAAGGTACCTCATGTAGTTGTGGTATGGGAAATATTTGCACTATATCACTTGCCTGTACTGTAATTTTTGCTATCAATGGTATTGACCCCAAGCACTCACCAAGGTACACAAGCTTTATTTCAACTTTTAAAGTGAATCTTATTAGAAGACTGCTCCTCTGCTACTTGAAAGATACATGTGGGTGAAAAACAAACTATGATCCAGGAAAACCTTACTCTAAACTGGATTTAAATATACAATTAAGCAGACTCTCAAGTTACTTCATCTTCACACTTCTACTGAAGATAAGCCAAACTCTCTTAAACAGGGTAATGATCTGAGTGCTGCTTATTTTCCAAATTACAGGACAACAAGCTTGCCTCCCTAATGAGCCAGGCTTTGATCTTCAGGAAAATGGAGCACTAGGAATAATACCACATGTAAGATTACATTGTATTTAACTTCAGATGAGAGCAAATCCAGAGGAAAGCAGAGCACAATAAACCCTGTTATATACTGTCTGCTAGAGCTGCCCTGGTCAGGTCTTTCAAGGGAGAATTTGCTAAGAGACCAATGAAAAACATAAACAGTTCAAAGAGGCAGATTTAGCCATGGGTGACTGTGAAACGTAGGCTCAGTTGAGGGTCTACAAAGAGTTTGTGAGAGCCCAGAGAGATGGCAGTCGCAAGACCTACCTGTGATAAAGGCATATGCTGCTAGGATGTTGCTGAGCAGTGCCATCTCTGTGCTAACGCCCACGGGCTCCATGCTGCTGTTGCGTGCCGGCGGTTGTGTCTCATCCACAGGAAGCAGGAAGGGGGTGTTGTCTAGAGGGTAGAAGGTGGCCGACCTCCCTTTCTTCTTCTCTGCTTTGAAACAGAAAGGGAATGAGGAACGAGGCACGTGCCCCAGCCCTACCCTGCCCTATCCCCACCAGGTCAGCATCTCCCTTCAGAAATCTGGAGCCGCTCGACAGCAAGCCACCCGAATTTGCCCCTTTTTAGGGGGCAACTAAATCTTCTCAGATAGCTTCAGCTGAGCACATACCCTGTCTGCATCCAGGCAGCATCTTCTCTCCCCTGTCTCCTGCTCTTTCATGTCAGCACTTAGACACACCCACCTACGCTACAGCAAATATACAATCAGGTTTCTTTTCTCTTATGTAAATCAAAGGAGCCTTTATCAACACTGGGTTCAGCTAAGCTTGTAATAAGGACTGGAAAACACAGGCAGAGCCGGTAACCCTCTGCCAGTGTCGCGCTGTAGTGATCCATCCACACCTGGCAAACAGACATGCTTTCTCTCCAGCCTTCACGGGGAAGGGCAGACCTGAGTTTATGACTTCCTTCAGAAGCTCGCTCGTATTGTGTTTCACCCAGACACCATTTCCCCTTCAGAGAGGTGAGTGAACATGGGTTAATGATTTGATTTTATTTGTTGAAGTCTGGAGCTAAGGAGGCAGCTAATTCCAGGAGGCTCAAAGAGACCCTTTCAGACCTTATCAGCTCACTGCTGAGTGCTCCCTGCACCTTGATCTGCAGGCAGACACCCCACTAGTCACAAAACACTAATTGTTTCAAATATGTTAAAAAGTCAGTGTGCAGGATCCAGCTCCATCATCCATGTGATTGTTTAACTGTAGCTATTACAGTTTTTCAGGGTCCCTGCCCTGGGTGTCTGGTTCTGGCCAAAAGCAAGCATTGCACTGTAAAATCACAGACTTCCACCTGGCTTCCACTTATCTGCAGGTATTAAATTCAGGACCCTGTCAGGTCCATCTCCGATAATGCCATCAGTGCCACGCAAGCAAAGGTGCTCTGACAGCAGCTACAAAGTGAGCTGGTCTGTGTCCACCGGCTGCCTGATCTGTCTCCCTTCCCTGCAAACCCGGCAGCATGAGATGTCGCACCCAGCTTCCCGCTGTGCGTGCCAGGAAGCGG